GTTTTGCTCACAACATTATTTAAGAAGTGAGTCTCTTATCGCGGCGGTGCCCGGGCACCCAGGGGGCCGGTGGCGGAGGAAAAAAGATATAAAAAAAAAAAGGAGTCTCAATAGTTATCTTTCTCATAAAGACACTAAAGAAACACTCAGCTCCCCAAAAGCTCTATCTGTAATTTTTCTTTTCCCAGAAAAGACCTATAAGGTTATGGGCTCTCAATTAAATTTTCTGCATTAGAAACTCTCATTAAAGGACATTTTTTCTACTACTTACTAACATTATATTCAGTTGAAACACTAAATGAAAATGCTTAAGAAAATTTTACACAGTCACCCCGATAGATTAGGAAACATCTGTGGATCACCTTTAATAAACTATTTAGTGTCTTCAAAGCCTTCGGCATAACACAAGATTTAAAAATATATGAATAAGAATCAATTTCCAATTTGACTGTTCTAGTATTAGGTCCTCTTCCTTCTTTACAAAATACTGAACTAAACTTCCTAAATTTGCACTCACGTTCCATGACAATTTACCAAGACCAAAAAAAGTAAACAAACTTGTTGACAAATTAGTACCAGAAACAAAAGCTCAACACCAATAACTATGCTAAAATCAAAGCCTTTACTTTGGACAATCATTCTTCTTCTTTTTTTTATTTTAAAGAGACAAAGGCCTGGCTCTGTCACCCAGCCCAGGCTGAATAGTGGCATGACCATAGCTCACTGCAACCTCTAATTCCTCTACTCAATAGATCTTCCTGCCTCAGCCTCCCATAGTTATGACTATAGGCACACACCACCACATTTGGCTAATTTTTAAATTTTTTTGAAGAGACATGGTCCCATTATGTTGGCTAGGCTGGTCTCAAACTCCTGGGCTCAAATGATCCTCCTGTGTCAACTTCCCAAAGTGCTGGGATTATAGGCATAAACCACCACATCTGGCTTATAATTCCTATTGCCCTTTTCCATTTTAAGTTTTCATTATTTTACCTGAATATCTACAGCAACAACCTTCTAATGGTCTTCCTGCTCCAATCTTGCCCCATTTCAATCTTTTTCTAAAACTATACTGGAATGATTTAAAAAAAAAACTTAACCATATTACACTTCCACTAAAAAGACTTAGAAATGTTCCCTATTTGATCTTTAACATGGTATAAAAGGTTCTTGATAATAAGTTCTTAACTTCTTTTCATGTCTTATTTTCTTCCTCATCCTTTCTCCCACCTGAACTACATACAATAAATTTTCCTGTGGGCTACGCTCTTATGCTTTTAAACATGTTATTAACCCTTCCTAAATGTTCCTCTTCTATTTGTTTGACATTAATATTTACTTCTCAGGGGTAAGCTTAAACATCATCACCTCTTCAGTGAAGTCTTTGCTGGCTTGTCCTAGACAAATAGATGTCCCTCTGCTCTGCTCCCAAACCCATCTATATCTATTTGCTGCAGCACTTTTCACTTTAAACTATACTCGTATTTTTATGCGATAAATATTTCTCTTTCATTATATGTTCACCTCAGGATGACCAAATAAATATTTTCTTCATCAAATGCTTCACATAAAGCATCTGACATTCAGTCAAACGTATTGACAAAAACAATCAGTAAGTACTCATAAACAAAGGAATGAGAAAAAACTGTGTAGAACAACTAACCTTAATAATATCAATAGTTACAGTATCCTGAAAATTAAAATGCAATAGGTATTAACCTTAGGAAAGAATTACAAATGTCAATGTTTCCATAATTAAGTAATTGGAAAAGTTTTGGTGTTATATTTTCTTAATGTTTAGAATAATACACTTGTAGAACTATCTGGGCCTAGAGTTTCCTTTGACAGACATTTTTATTATAGTCACTCACTTTAATAATTGCAGCATACTTATGTTTTATTCCTTTTTATGTTAATTTTGACAAAGTAAATTTTTCTAGAATTCTATTTATTTTCATTTATTGGCATATATTTTTCTCATAATATCCTTTTATACTGATATCAGACTTTATACTGATGTTCCATTTTTTATTCCCAATATCTGTTATTTGTGCCTTCTCTTTTTCCTTCTTGATCAGTATAAGGTTTATTAATTTTATTTATCTTTTCAAAGCAAAAAGTTTTGGCTTTGTTGCTGTTTATTTTTCTAACTCAATAATTTCTGCTCTTTAATTATTTCCTTTCTTCTATTTTCGTTGGGTAAAATAAACTCAAATTGGGAAATTAAGCAAATTAAGTTGTTAATTTTCTAATTTCTTAAAATAGGCTTGGTGATTGATTTTTCAGCTTTTTTCCTGGCAATATATCAGTATCATTTCATTAATAATTTCTACCTTATTTGCAATGAGATCAGCAAACAGACTTAGTGTACTTTTAGTCCTCTGAAATATTCTGAGATTTACTTCATGATCAAGTCTGGTCAAGTTTTGTGAATGCTTTCTGTATCCTTGAAAAAACATGTATTCTACAGTTGTTGGATGCAGCATCTCATAAAAATCTACTAGATCCAGTTTGTGTTCATATTATTTATATCCTTGTTGGTTTTGTTGTTGTTGGCTTATTTTGTTACAGAGAGATGAATGTTAAAATTTCCCAATATAAATGGGAGTTTCTATGTCTTCTTGTATTCTAGAAATTTATGCTGATATATTTTCGAGCTATGGTAACAAGTACAATCAAGTTAAAAATCTTTGTATTTTCTTAATGAAACCATTTTTCATTATGAGACATCCACTTTTTTCTCACATGGTGTTTTCTGCTTTAAAATCTATTCAGATATTAATACAATTACACCTTTAATACAATTACAATGTAATTAATACAATTACAAATTACATTTTTGAACTGGTATTTTCATAGAATATACTTTTCAATCCTTTTACCTTTCACTTACCTACATCATTATGTTTCAGATACGTCTCCAACTGCATGTAGTTAGCTGTTTTCTCATACATTAATACATGTCTTTTGACTGAAAATTTTAATCCAGTTTCATATATTATATTACTAATATATTGGGGTTTAAATCTACCATTCACTGTGTTTTCCATTTGCCCTGCTATTCTATATTCCTTTTTCTCATCTGTCCTGCCTTCTTCTAGATAGATAATCTTTATAATTCCATTTGTTTTTTTATCTATTGGGTGGAAAGTATGCATTTTTTATTTTAGTAGCTATACTAGAGCTGCACAGCACCATATAGTAGCTACATGTAGTTGCTGTGCATTTGAAATGTGGATAGTTGAAAATCAAAAATGTAAAATATCTCAATGTTTTATATTGATTATATTGAAATGATGTTTTTGATATAGTGGATTAAATAAATTATTGAAATTAATTTTACTCATTTATTTTTCTGTATGTGGTAACTAGAAAATTTATAGTTGTGTGTATGTATGTATTTATATATATATATATATATATCTCTTTAGTAAATTCTTCATTCATTTCCCAAATTGTTTTCCTGAGTTTTTTTATTCAGTTTTCCATTTTCTCTTGTAATTCATTGTACTTCCTTACAATCCATATTTGAAATTCTTTATCTGTCATTTCAATATTTTCATTTTGGTTAGGATCCATTGCTAGAAAGCTGGTATGTCCTTTTGGGGGTGTCCTTCCACTCTGATTTTTTTATGCTTCCAGAGTTTTTGCACTGATTCCTTCTTATCTGGAGCAGCTGACACTTCTTGTTTTTGGATTTTCTTTTGTTTATATGGGGCTTCCCCCTCCTCACTCTTAAGGGTATGTCTATAGCATATGTTGGGTAAGAACCTTTGGCTTTTCTTGTGGGTGCTTTGATGGGGGGGGTCTAGGTTCTGGATAGAGACCTTGGTTATAGATATCCTTAGTGTGTTGGTTTTCTCAGTTGCTAGTTATTTGTAGTGGTGAGCTAAGTGTGTGGGCAGATTCACTGTCTCTTGTTGATAAGGCTTCTCTCATCAACAAAGATGGAGGTCTTTAAAATCCTTTCTTTTTCATCAGCCCTGGGGTCTTAACAGCATGAATTATACTGGGATGTGCAGTTTAATCTGAGACAGTGGTAGTGCTTGTAAGTAAGAATCAGCCAAGTACTGTATGATTGAGTCAGTAAATCCTGTAAAGGGTTGTACAACTTGTCCTCTCTGCCAGTAGGTGGCAATTACCAGAAAGAAACAGCTGCAGTGTTGTTTTTCTGGGACCTGTGACTGGTTCTATCTCCTTGGGAGAAGCACTTAAATGCCCCAAGCAGTGGGCAGAGCCCTGGAGCTCCCAGGGCACTCCTTAATCATCACCATAGTAGGGGTGGGTGGAGGACTGACGCTGGGTGGAGCTGGGTCAGGTAAACCTGCCTTCGGGCTCCACAAAGGCCTGTAAAGGAGCTGTCTCTGCAGGGCTCAAGAGTCTGCTCCCAGGCCACAGGGGAAAGCCACCAGGGAGGAGCTGAAGCAGCTCCACAAAGCCAGAAAGTCTGCTTGTGGGGTCAGGGACAACCGAGATTCATGATCTGGCTGTCAGAAGTGGGTTTTGTTCTTCTCCCTCTCACCCCTCCAGTCTCCTTCCAATGTCTCACCATAGGCAGGAGCTTAAACTAGCAGAGTTCACCAGCAATGGCACTGTGGGCTGGGAGCTTCTCTGTCCAGGAACCTGCTCCATGCCAACAGCACAGCTTTCCTGTGGGTGAAGGGGTGCTCCGCACATGCTGGGGCTCAGACCTACGCTGCATTCTCCGCTCAGTCTTGCCCATGACTGCTCCTCTGCCTCCCAAGATGAGTTCACAAATCTCCCCTCCGTGTCTCCAGGCAATACAATTAAGTGCTGGGAGTATGGGATCTAGCCTGTAGGCCTGTCTCTAGGTCCCCCAAGTTCAATCCATGACCATGCTAGCGAGAAGCATGCTGGTCCCAAGCTGCCTATAAAGCAGTCAAGCAGATTTAATGTCCTTCTGCTTCAGGGTATGTCTTGCTCTACTGGAGCAGCCACACGAGCAGCACCGGGGGGGGGGGGGGGGGGCAGCAAGCAGGGAGCTCACAGACCAAGTACCCCTGGGTCTGCAGCAGGTCTTTAAGAAGAAAGGCATGAGTGCCACTCTCTAAGGAAGCCTCAGTGTGGTAGCCACACCAACAAAGGGGAAACAGCTGCTTCTGGGAGTCTTGGCTCAATCGTCCCTCTCGGCAGCAGTAGATGAGGGAAGGGTGAGGGAAGTTAAGAGTCGGAATGAAGGACAGCTAGCACTCTGGTCATCTTTGTCCCTCTCTCCTGAAGGCAGCATGCCCAAAATGTCTAAACTCTGGGGTCAAGCAGATTCCCCAGGGAATTCCCCAGGGAAATACATGGGGCATGGAGTATAGGTCAGGTTATTAGAATTGCAGTGAAAACTTATTCAGGATCCCACAATTTAAAAAGCAAAAGTATTCTCTACAAAGGCCTTTTTATTGGGCCTCTTATTTTGCCACAACCAATACCAGGTGAGTCCAGCTCCAGACTAAAATAAGCTTTCTTGTCCACTTGCTTACTTGGTGTTAATTTCTCCACTCATAATAAGGTACTAGAAACAGCTTTATTTTTTCTATTGTTATGGGTCCTAATATCAATAAATGAAGGCAAAAGGAAGAAGTAGGTTTGCTGTAAGGCATAAACTTGCTCCTGCTGTCTGTTTCCCATATCAGAAATTTTCTCATCCTCTAATTCAGGGGTCAGCACATGACATAAATAAAACTTTACTGTTACACAACCACATGCTGATCTTTTATGAACTGTTTACAGCTGCTCTCATAAAACAAAGTATGGCCTGCAAGCCTAAAATATTTACTACCTTGCCCTTTAATTAAATGTTTGAAGACCCCTACTCTAATCAGTATGAGCTTTACTTTATACTGTCTCACTTCTATTATAGAATACCTGTTAGCCATCAATATACTTTCCATATATAATCACATTACATTACTGTTATTAAAAATTTCTCTCATAATCTATTATGTTCACTTGATTCTACAATCATGACTTCATTTTAATGTACAGTCAGGAGAGGGGTTTGTAGGTTCTGCTATTTGTCTTTTGTCTTACCCAGAAGTAAAATCCATTTACTTTCAACCAATAAACATTTCTTGAGCATTATTATGTGCTAGGAATAGCACTAGACACTAGAGAATGAACCACTAACAAGCTAGAAATAATGCTTGCCCTCATGGAATTTATATTCAAAAAAGAGAGTAAGAGAAATGCAAAATAAAATGAAGCAAAATAGAAGGTGGTATTAATATTAAGAAAACTAACAAATGGTTAAGATCGAAAGTAATAAAGGGAGACATACTTTCTGATACTTTAGAAAAATCTCTTTAAAGAGATGTTTAAAATGAGATCGTAAAGATAAACAGGAGCTAAGAAATCAAGGAATGGAATGAAAAGAAAACCATTACAAAGGGCAGAAATATTGGCATATTCATGCAACTGAAAGAAAACAAGTATGGTCAAAACATAGAAAAAGAGAGAGATCTATATAAGATTAAATCGGAGAAGTAGGCAAGATCCAGATCATACAGAGCTCTGTAATTAAAGTAAGAAATATAATCTAAACTTTTAAGTGAGGAAGGCATTAAAGTATCTAGAACAGGAAAGTGGCAGGATGTAAATTACATTTAAAATCCTTCTTGTTACTAGACAGAAAATGGAGTGGAGGGGGACATGAGAGTAGTTATGAGTCTGGTGTAATATTCCAGGAAAAAGATGACAAAAATCGATTGGTCTGAAAGTGGTGGCAATGAAGACATAAATAGGCTATTCAAAATAACTTGTTAATTAGATATGTATAGGGAGTAGGAGCAGGTGAGACAAAGAATGATCACAATGATTGTGGCTTGAGCCACTGTATTGTTACTGATGTAATTTACAAGACTAAGTGGCCAGGTAGAAAGGAAGGAGGTAGAAAATGATAACTCCATTTTGGACAAGTTAATATTGAAATATCTCTGAGATTCCACGTGGAGATGAATACAAAATATGGAGCTCAAAGGAAAAGTCTAGGCTGGATATATAAATTAGCAGTAAAAAGGGAGAAAGATAATTATAATCAAATATATAAATTTCTGAATATTCCTTTTTGTCCTAATAGTAAAAAAGGTAGTAAAAGTTTTCTTTCTTCATTTCTCTGTGTTTCAGGGGAAAAAAGAAGTACCATGCTCTAAATGGTAAAGGAAGAAATGGTAAGGAAACTGATAATACTAATTGCTACCAAGGAGGGGAACCGGCTGGGTAGAAACAAGGGTGAAGGTGAAACTTTATTTTTTACAATGTATCCTTTTACACCTTTTAATAATTTTGTAGCATGTGAATATAATACCTATTCAAACACTTGTTTTATGTTAAGGAGAGCCCACCAGAGTCTAGACCAGGCATCCTCAAACTGCGGCCAGCGGGCCACATGCGGGTGTTTTTGCCCATTTGTTTTTTTACTTCAAAATAAGATATGTGCAGTGTGCATAGGAATTTGTTCATAGTTTTTTTAAAACTATAATCCACCCCTCCAACGGTCTGAGGGACAGTGAACTGGCCCCCTGTTTAAAAAGTTTGAGGACCCTGGTATAGACAGAGCACCTAGATAAACAAGGTGTGTCCATGCTCCTAGGCAATTTCTTAAACCCTCCAAGAACATACAGAAAAAAGGGTAAAAGCATCAGTACCTACTTAAGTTGCAAATGAAATTTCCCATTACAAGTCTCAATTATTAACTATATTATCAAAAGATTTATGAACTAGAAATGACTGAGTTCAATAATCCAATCCTTCTCATTTTACAGATAATATAATCAGAACTACCTACTACTAAGACGCCAAATATCATGCTTTGCTTATATATATATGGAGGGGGGGAAGGAGAGGGAGCGCAAGTGCGCACGTGAGCAAGATGACAGACAGACAGGGTCTTCCTCTGTCACCCAGGCTAGAGTGCAGGGGTGTTATCATTGCTCACTGCAACCTCAAATTCCTGGGTTCAAGTGATCCTCCTGCCTCAGCCTCCTGGGCAGCTGGGACTACAGGTGTGCACCACCAAGCCTGGCTAATTTTTAAACTTTTTGTAAAGACAGATCTGGGTGGGGGATTGTCTTGCTATTGCACAGGTTGGTCTCAAACACCAATTCAAGCAATCCTCCCACCTCAGCCTTCCAAAGTGCTAGGATTACAGGTGTGAGCCACCATGCCCAGTCCAAGTCCAGTATTTTAAATGGCAAAATAACAATCACCAACATCATTATCCAGCTAACAGTGAATTTACTTTATCAACCAAGTGTATTATCAACTAAGTGCTCAAATGTACTAGTTACCTCCATCTCCTCAGTTTTCTATGTCCCCAATCTGCTGCTTAAGGTAATTAATTACACAAAGGACACTAAAAACTTAAAATAACCTTTGCTATCACCTTTTCACAATGTAGTTTTTAAATCTGAAATTGGATGTCTTGGTTCTAAATTGGTGAAGAAAATTTAATTCTGTTTTCTCAAAGAAATGAAAAACATTCCAGTAACACTAAGACCACTTTACTTTTGAAGTATGCAAATAGTCATCAGAATGGCTGGCATTTAATGGACATGTAAATGTGCTGGGCACTATGCTGTATACTTAATATCTTATCTCATTTAATTTGTGCAATAACCCTGTGGAACAAATATTATTTGTATTTCACAGGTAAAAAAAATAAAGCTGAAACAGTTACTTCTCAAAATTACACATCTAGAAATTGAAGGAGTTCATGACACTAAAATCCATATTCTTTTTACTATATCAATAGTTTTGAAACTTTTTGGTCTTAGGACCCCCTTTATATTCCTAAAAATTATTAAAGATCCCAAAACCTTTTGTATGTACATATCTACTGATAGCTACCATATTAGAAATGAAAATTGAAAAATTTTACTTATTAATTTTAAAACCACAATAAACCCATTACATGTTAATATATAATTTTTGTGAAAAAATTAACTGCATTTTTCAAAACAATGAGTGAGAAGAGCAGTACTATTTTATTTTATTTTTTGAAGAACGCAATGTTTTATTTTTAATTGGCCCCATGGGCTTCAATATGGACAAACCAGATGCAAATAAGCACTTCAACTTAGGGCAAATATCCTACTACACTGACCTCCATCAGGGAATGGCCCTGTACTTATCCAAAATCTTGAGCACAGTACACTATAGGTTGCCTACAATAAATATAAGCTAATAGATTAAAAACAATAAAGGAGTCTAATTTATTTCATAGAAATTCTGAAGTGAAAGGTAAACCCTTAAGGAATTTCTTCCTGGAAGAGCTCATTTATCACAATGAGATCAGAGGTGGAATGCCTAAACAGAGAAGTAAGTAAGGAAAGTCTTGGAGAGTTGAGAAGAGAAGGAGGATCTGGTCATGTTCCTAATGAGAAACTAGATAGGGAGTTAACAAGGCACTAGAAGAAGCATTTGTCACTATTAAGGTTCCAGGGAATGCTCATGATCTTGGTTCCTTGTTTATCTGGATGCATGGAAAAGCCTTTTGCTGCTCATCTATGATTTGTAAAGTTTCTAAATTAGTTCCAATGTCTCTACTTTATCACAAACCAGCTAAGGATTGAAATGGAGTTTTGTACAAGGTAAGGTACTAAGAAGATATTTAGAAAAAAGGTGAGGAGTTCCAGGTAAGAGCAAACAACTCTCAAGGCTGGGAAACACGCACACACACAAGCGCGCACACACAAATCAAAAAGAAAATAAAACCATCAAATGCATCATCCTTAAACCTTCTAAAGAATATTTTCAAGTCTTCTTATCATCCTGCTTGCTGACCAGACTTCAACACATTGACACAATGAAGTCTGTTCATGACCTCTCTGAGGCAATTTTACCACTAGTCCCAGAAGCCATCTAGTTTACATAGTATTTAGTGAAACTATTTCTTTTTTCACTCTGTTAATGTGGCCTGAACCTGCATTAGCTTTAAGATAATTGTGGATAAGATATTCATGATTTTTATTGGTGACCTAAAAGGTACACACCACACAGTGCTTTGGGCAAAGTGTGAATTTGTTGAATGGAGTGAAGTACAATTTCACTTTTTGAAAAAGGTCAATAATGTAGAAAAAGACAGAATGGCTTCTAGGACAGAGGCACAGAGTTAGGTGCATGAAAGCAGCCTAAAGCAATGTCATTAAATTTTTGCATCTTGTCCTGGAGATGGCCACACTTTGCCTACAATGCAACATTCTTATACTATCTTTCTCTCTCACTTCTAATTCTGAACACATAAATCAGTTTTTTGACTACAAATATACAATATAATAACAACCCAACTAAAAGTTAATAAATGAACACATAGAGAACATACACCAACACCAATTTGGTATACATTTCACTCTAATGTTACTTCTCACTGTAAACCTTTTTAACAAACTGTATAGTTCTATATTTTAGCCTCTTGTCATTTGGTTAGTCAAATCATCTCAGAGTATATCATAACAAAAGTGGTATTTCTGGTCCGTAAGGCATCCAGAAACATGGTTTTACCAAAGTGTATCTGAATATCCCTGACCCTGTTAAAGCAACAGGTAGCAAAGCCATGTTGTGGGGAACATTTCCTTTGCATTAGTTCTTGTCCAATTACTCCATAATTATTAACTCATTGAACTGCTCATGATGACACATGAGATAGCTTTTCCTATTATCTCCATTTCATGGATGAGGAAACTGAAAGGCTTAAAAGTAAAGTTATTAAAACCAGAATTTGACCCCAGCCAGCAAGGCTCCATACTAGTATATGCTGGTAATCACTATTACACTGTTTCTTGTGAGAGCGAACTTGCATTTTGGAACTTTAAAAAACCTTTATGACCAAAGTCATGACATTAGATGTCTTTCTCTCCTTTTAACATTTTACAATGGTGCAGGATATAAACCTATTATTCTTCAATGTCAGATATAAAGGAATCTATATTTAAATATCTTACAAGTTATTTCTGTCATCACAGAAAAGGAGACTGGTGAAAAATGACACAGGTTTAGATGATTTGAAGCTGAGGTGGCAGGTGAGCATATCATTAATTCCACTGGGAGAGCCTGTGATGACTCTGTCTTTTGGAAACTTCACAGAAAGAGGATGAATTTCATCACCATCAAGAAGCCTGGCTGCAGGAATCTGAACATGTAGAGTTGAACTTCTGAAATAGTTTTGAAGTAAAATGTTGATATCCATCACAGTTGTTATATCCAAAGGAACAGGAGCGAAAAATATAAATGGAGGGTCAAACAGTAACTTGGGCGATTTTACCTCTCCAGTCAGATGTAAGATCTGATAGCAAACTGGATTATCATTTAAGCGTATAGGAATATCAACCGTGTATTTTTTAGGATATTTTGGACAGAAACTTATAGGAATACTACACTTTTCATGTGGTTTCAGAGTCCCAGTCAGTATACTAAACTTGAATGTGCCATCTTTGAAAAGTTTGCCAGTATTTCTAATATCCAAAATCCATTGCACATCTTGTTTTGAAATATTATCTAAGGTAAGATTGTCAGTTTTTGTGGCCTTGTTTTTAGGATCCATCTCATGTACAGGGATTTCAAACACAAACCTAGTACTGGATAAAATCAATGGTGCTTGCAATACAGTAACTTGAACATAACATGGTTGAGTAAGTGTTGTCGTCTTTGGATTCACAGGAGAACTTGACAAATATTCAGTATAGAGTTTTGAAGCCTCAAAGAAATTAATTTTAACTTGAATGATGAAGTCATACGTTATCACCGAAAGCTGGGCCAGGAGTCCACAAGGCTGAATCCAAGAAGCTGGACGACTTGTCCAGGAGGCTGAATTGAAGAACAGGGACAAGTGGTTTGAGGAGGAAGGAAAGAGAGTCTACTTTGCCCGAGCAGTACTATTTTAAATTCTTTAATTAAAGACAAATAAATTTCTTTACTCTCTGGCTTAATAGAAAACAGCTGGATTTTTATATCTGCTTCTACAATTAATCATTAGGTATAAAGTGTTTTGAAGTATATGAAGAAAATCCAGCTTCCCACACATTCATAGGTGGATTTTAATAGCCTTTTCAGATAGTTAGGAACATTCTTTAAATCTACACCAAAATTAAGTAAGTGGTCATTTCTTAATAGTTGCAATATGAAATGTAAAACCATAACAACAAGCTTTCTGTACTGTGTTAATCTAAAATACACTGGTCTCTCTTACATTTTGAATGGATCTTTTGCTGATGCATGTTTGTAACATTATGCATTGATCATTCAAAAAACATTGATTGACCAAGTTACGCAGATCTTCCAAACGTTGTCACATTTCACTATACAATAGCCAAAAAAAATCACATTTGTTAATATTACTTCCAATCTGACCAGAACAATCTTTTAAGTACTGGGAACCCATCAAGCTTACCAAGGCAGAGAAAAGTTCTCCAAATTTCTAATTCTCATTTGAAAGGATGAATTTTTTCATTGGCAACAAGTACTGTCACTTGTCTTCTTTGAAGTCATATGCTTACTTCATTCATTTTCCAGCAAATGTTTGTCAAACATCCAAATTATAATAACCCTAGTTTGTCTCTAAGCTGTTCTTTCAAGTAAAAATGATGTTCTATGAAAAAAAGAGGCTAGTTCAGCTTACAACTCCATTTCACAAATGTTTTCCCTTACTTACTCTTCAGATTGTGCAACAGAAGAGCATCATTCACAATCCCCATATTACGAAGAATACCAAAAAGGCTTGTACTCAAGATTAAGATTTAATAAAATTCACCATTTTACAGCTTCACCAAAACTGTAAGTAAAATTGGCATTTTAATTTTATTATTAAAAAATTTTTATTGTAAGTGCGTGGCAATGAATAATACAATGACTACTACATAGTTTTGTGCCCTAACTTGTTCTAAAGTGGCAACAAATTTACTCACCATTGCCTTTGTACCATCAGTGAAAATGTCAGCACAGTGAAAAAGGCATGCAATAACTTGATATTGTTACAAAGTTTTTACTTCATGCATGCCTTAATCATAGAGCAAAGCAGGAAATTACAAGTACTAGAATCAACATAGCTCCACGTTCTACAGACATCTTCAAGTCACCAACCAAGCAAGAAGTAAAAAGGGAGAATTTCTGCATTTGATCTCAAAATGGTACTATACTATTAAAATTCACACACACACGATCTTACATCCAAACTATCATCAACTCCTACTACCTCTATCTTCCTATCACTTCCAGTTACCCACACTAACCCCTGCCCACCCAAGTTTCTGCTTCACATAGCCACCAGAATGAGCCTTTTAAAATTGGTGTCACTCCCCTCCTCAAAACCCTCTTGATAGGCCGGGCGCGGTGGCTCACGCCTGTAATCCTAGCACTTTGGGAGGCCGAGGCGGGCGGATTGCTCAAGGTCAGGAGTTCGAAACCAGCCTGAGTGAGACCCCGTCTCTACCAAAAATAGAAATAAATTAATTGACCAACTAAAATATATATACAAAAAATTAGCTGGGCATGGTGGCGCATGCCTGTAGTCCCAGCTACTCGGGAGGCTGAGGCAGTAGGATCGCTGAGCCCCAGAGATTGAGGTTGCTGTGAGCCAGGCTGACGCCACGGCACTCACTCTAGCCTGGGCAACAAAGTGAGACTCTGTCTCAAAAAAAAAAACAAAAAAAAAAACCCTCTGATAGCTTTCCATGTTGTTCCCTGTAAAAGCCAAAATCCTTAACAATGGTCTACAGAAGTTCTATATGCTTACAACCCCAACTACCTCTTGAATCTCACATATCCTATCACTCTTCCCTTGCTCACTTTGTGCCAGCCACATTTACCTTCTTCCTATTCCCAGAAAGTGCTACCTTTGCATTTGCTATTTTCTGCTTGAAATTCAGTTCTGCCGGTATCTGCTCCCTAATTTTCTTGAGGTAACTGCTTACATTTCTTTTACTCATCTTTCCTGACCCTGACTAAAATGAAATAATTACTACTTCCCCATACTCCCAGCTCGCTCTCTCACACTCACTCGCTCACGCTCTCTCTCTCTCTCCTCCTCCTCACTTTGCTTTACTTTACTCTTTAATACTTATCAAGGTTGGGCATGGTAGCTCACACCTGTAATCCTAGCACTTTGGGAGGCCAAGGCAGGAGGATCACTTGAACTCAGGAGTTTGAGACCAGCATCATAGTAAGACCCCTTCTCTACAAAAATATAGACAAATTAGCCAGTCGTGGTGTCACACACCTGTAGTCCCAGCTACTCAGGAAGGAGGATTGCTTAGCCCAGGAGTTTGAGGTGATGATGAGCTATGATGACATCAGATCCTCATGCCCAGGCAACAAAAACAAACAAACAAAAATCCCTTATCATTATCAGTAATACCATATATTTATTAGTTTATTTATTGTTTGTCTCTCCCATTAGAATGTGAGCTCCATGAGAACAGGAACTTTGTCAGTTGTTGTTCACTGTTGTAACCCTAGCACCTAAAACACTGTATATCATATATTATTAGGAGCTTAGTATATATCTGTTGAATGAATGAATGAACCAACAAAAGAAAAAAGAAACTATAAAGAACCGGAAGGGCAGTGTCAAAATCTGTTTTTACTTTCCAAAAAGCATTTCACCCTAGGACAATGCAGGGACAATGGACCCCAGGACAATCTATGAAAACCAAAGGATATGTATACAAAACAGGATAAGTTACATAGCACAGATCCTTTTACAGAATTCAGTATAGTGCTTAAAAGGGAGAGCATGCAGTAACTGCCTGACAGATATCTGCAGCCAAGAATCCAAATGCAAAGAACTAAGTTACACTAGTAGTAGACTAAAGGGGACTTATAGGAGAGTCAGATAAACCTAACGCTTTAGTAGACTGACATGGAATATGAATTCAAGCATCAGACACAACCTCAATTAAAGTCCTATCTAAACCTCAAAAGTAAGAATGACTTCTGCTGGAAAGTAATAAATATCAAAAATGAGAACAAGATACTGATTATTAATTGGTATTACTATTATATGAGCCTTCAGAGTTAAAATATTTTCAAGTCCATTCTCCCATTTGAAACTATAATGCCTCAAGAGACAGATATTATTATATTTACTTATTTCAGAGGTTCAGTAAGTAGCATGTCATAAAAACCAGTTCAAAGAGAAGCATGGTCTCAAACTCAGATCTGATTCCAAATATAGAGATAGCAAAAGATCTTTTCCCTTTTTCCTACCCCCACTTTACATACTTCAGTCTTGCTCTAAAACTGATCTATGATCTTTCCCTCAAGGAAATAAATGGTGTAGGAACATATTGTTTATCTGGCCCAGTCCCATCCAATTCTCTAAGAACTACACTCATTTTCTAGAACCCAAAGCATCCTGACAATTACATTGTACTGTGAATTAAGGTAAATTGCTATGACTGAAGAATGACATTACCTGTGGCAGCTACACTATCCAAAACTCAATTCTCCAATGACTCTTCTAGAATTCTCCTCCCTCATTAAGGATGCCCAGGACCCAACATCACTAATAACTGTCCATTTCTGCTACCATTTTTGCCACAATTGGAGGGTCAGAATTCCTACACCTATTGCAGCTCAGTGCTGGAAAGGGTAAAAGAGGCTCCTCACTCCCTATTAGGAAGTGCTATACAGACATGCTCATATCACATTTGTTAGTGGTGAATCAAGTCCTATAGTGCTAATGCCAATACCATTAGGAAACATAGCCACTTAACCTAAAGACAGACCCACTTTGTTGGAGATGCACATGGGGAAGAAAGAGGAGATAGGAGGAAGATCATATTCATCTAATCATGATCAACTAAATCAACTCTGGTAAATCAATGGAGTAACAGATTTCACTGTCAAATCTCCCTTACAGCAACTGAAGGTGTATAACACACTTTTAATGTGCTAAAATCTTGAACTTCTAGACACTACTTTTTTCCTAAAAGAAACTGAGATCTTACAAAAACAAAGTTTTGGGAAGACTATAAACATAAAGCAAACAAATATAAAAACTACTAATATTTTTTAAAGACATGTCACATTAACCCTCTCCTGGCTAAAACTGTTCACCAGAGGGTTAATTCAAGATTTTCTTTGCCATGCAGAGCTTAGCTTATAGTTGCCTCTTCCCAAAGAGACTCATTACACTTTATTCATTTGCATCACCCATCTCTAAGATTTTAGTGACAAAAACAAAGCAGAAAAATATCAAAAAGATTTATATAGAATAAGCCAAAATAAACATATCGCATGGTCACCAGATTATCCTGTCTCAATTCTCAAATGCATTTTTAATCTTTCTGAAATTAGAATTTTAAAAAAATCTCTGGCTGAAGAAATCCACCAGCCACCAAGCAGAGATGTTATACATGTGAACCACTTCATTGTCACTGCATTGAGTTACCTGCATTAGCAGGAATACTCTTGATTGAATTTTAACTTAAATTTGAAATCTTTAGTCATTGTGTGAAATAGCTTCAAGAACATATCACAACTTCGTAAAAATAAAAATTAACTGTATATAGAGAAGATGGCTTGTCACATGCCAGGCAATGTAATTAAAGGCAGTAGAAACTGCCAGATCTCTCAAAATAAATCAGAAATTTTTTAAATCTAGGAAAGGCTGGTTTGAGCACGTCAATATATCCACAACTTTCATTACTCTGGCACATAAATGCTTCTCATTAGCATCCAAGAGAAGCTGCTTAACTTCTTAAGGATATTTAACTCAGGGAAAACACAAATTACAAGTTTAACAAATAGGGAGTTCAGTCAAAACCAAGAAAGTCTTCTATATGTTTCATATCATTTCAATTCTAAATGTGTTTTAAAAAAGCAAAATCATTATTATCAATTATAAAAAATGGCATGTCACCATGATGCTTTGCCAAACTACCAATGGTAAAAAGTGATTCAGAAAAATCTTTACATTCAGAATGCGAAAAAAGGCTTAGATTCAATCTTTAATTTTATACTAAGAAAAAAGTGGCAAATAACTAAAGATACAAAGTTTAACAATTTTGTATACTTTTAATATACTATTTCTTTTCCCCACTCAAAAAGAGCTGTTTTAAATAAGTCATGAGTTATAATCATTGGCATCTCTGAATGCAGTATATATATGATTTTTAGCAGCTATTACTGTATTTAACCTATACTTCACGAGATATGTTTGGATCCAGAATACAATATATTCCTCAAAATAATTGATGGCTCAAAAAAAGCAATTCCTACTCAACCAACATTTCACCACAAAAGAAAAAACTCTATCTTTGCTCCTATTCAATCAAAGTCAATAATTTGCAAACACAAACACACCAACACCCCCAAAAAAGTTTACCAAAGCAGATATCAGTGAAAACTGTAAGAGCTAATAATGCATAGTGAACTAAACAGTGAACAAATTAGGATTCAACAAGCTCTCCAGCTAAAATAAAAGACTAAGATTAACAAAATAAAATTTAATAGATCTAAAGTCCTGTACTGAGATTAAAAAATAAACATAAGAAGGGATAGAATGGAAAGAGAGCAGATAACTTGAGAAAAAAATGTCAAAAAATTAGCAACCTCTATGGTGCTTAACTGCATAACTGTGTGCTGCTTTAGAGCAATAAATACAGCCTTATTGTTGTCATTGCTCATGAGGCTAATATGGCTCCAGCACTGAGTTAGTTCTAGGCACCATCCTCTAAGGCAGCAGTTCCCAACCTTTTTGGCACTAGGGACGAGTTTCTCACAGTTTCTCACGGAAGACAATTATTTCACTGAGGGGCAGGGGGGAGAAGGGGGGCGTAGGGGAAGTGGGCGGCACAGCTATACCGATGAGGTCCATGGCCAGTGGGTTGGGGATGACAGCTCTGAGGGAAGAATTAACAAACTAGAATGACAAAGTTTCATTTACTTATCTAATCCACTTATATAGAATTTACTGTCTCAGGGACTATTTTAAACACTTTATAAACCATGTCATATGAGGAATGGATACATAAGTTAGAAATGTTTAACCTGAAGATAAGAGGAATACGATAGCTCTTGTCAAATATCTAAAGGGCTATCAGGTGGATAAAGGAGCCCATTTATTTGTGTCATCACATAAAAAAGAAATAACAAACAGGAGTAAGAGATTTGGGCTGTATTTTTAACTCTGAGAGCTGTCCAATGTCACAATCTCTGTACAAAGCTATTTGAAGGACTAAATACGGAAATATATAAAAAAAAATTTGTTTATAAATTGCCACATACACATTATTAGAATTCACTTCCTTGCGATGTAGTGGGTCCCAATCAATAGAAATAATTACAAAGAGGATGATCATAAGCTTTGGAGTCCTTGCTATTAGTTTGATTCCTAGCTTTGTGACTTATACTAAATATGTAACTTCAGCAAAGTTTCCTTGCTTCTCTAGGCTTCATTTTTCTCACCTTTAAAATTAGCATAAAACCATCTGTTTTGCAGGGCAGTTGTGAGGATTAAATGTTATAATGTGTAATGCTAATGCAAACACTTAGCACTCCGCTGACGCACTCAATAAATTTTATCTATAACAACAATAATTACTATCATCATCATCAGGTTGTGAAAGGAATCCCTACAGTAAATATAAAACTATGTGATACATGGCATAATTGTATGACTCTGCCATGCACCTGGATGACTGTATGATTCTGCTATGCACCTATCATGTTATAACAATCCAACAATATTAGATCACTTTTGTTTGAGTGATTTTTAAAACATTTATCTTTTATAATTTGAAAGGCGATATATCCTAAAAATCTAAATAAAGCATCTAGGTAAAATATCATTAGTGCAAGTAATAATGAAATAATGTAATAGGGAAATTAAGAAGCTAACGGAGAAAAAAAGGAACTAAAGAAGCAGTACATTAAATAGAAACTTCACTGCAAGAGATTAGAATGAATATATTGCAGGGAGGAAAACATTGCATTTTCCACAGGTATGTGAACCACTGGTTATATTCATCAGAAATATCAACAATATGAGGGCAGCTAAACGTAATACAAAAGTTCCTTTAAAAAATACTCCTAAATGTTGGATTAAACAACCCTGCAATTGAGTCAGTACCTTCTGTGATAATCATCCATCTCTTCTTTTAAAGGAAGTTAACTCTCAAAAGCAACCTTTTATCTGTCTCAGGGGTATTTCAAGGTAATATAACTGTAGCTACTATGAAGAACAAATGTGAAAAACTTCCTAATAATTGACTAATAAACTGAGGCTACAATCTATCTCCCACTAACAACTGTTTTCCAAAGGAGTAGAATATAATTACCATCAACAAACAACATGTTTGTTACAACAGTAAATTGATTAAATAAATTAAACATAGAAATGGAAAACTGGGTGCAGCTTTAAGGTCCTTTTTTGGGAATATGGTTTATGATAAATGACAGGTGGTGATATTATTGCAACTACAATATTATAAATTTAAAAAACAAGTGTAGTTAGAGAATTATACAACCAACAGAAACCTTACTGTTTTAATCTTAATTTTTGTCCTAATTTTAGGTAAGAAGCCTAGAGTCCAATGGAATTAAGAGAGCTTATTCCACAGGCAAGTATTTCATTCATGTGCACATCATCTGGAGCACAGTTAGTTGAGTGTGTTCTAACTGGATGTATACCATAATTGTCTTAAGTGAAAAGCAGAGTGATCAACATTTTCAACTACCCAGTTTAAAATGGCCTATAACAGTAAATGTTAAAAACGTCAGTGTTTACACTAGTTTTCATTAATAAATTTACTGTTGCTTAAAAATCAACTCAATCACATTATTTTTTTTTTTTTGAGACAGAGTCTCACTTTTGTTGCCCTGGCTAGAGTGAGTGCCGTGGAGTCAACGTAGCTCACAGCAACCTCAAACTCCTGGGCTCAAGCGATCCTCCTGCCTCAGCCTCCCAAGTAGCTGGGACTACAGGCATGCGCCACCATGCCCGGCTAATTTTTTGTATATATATATTTTTTAGTTGGTCAATTAATTTCTTTCTATTTTTAGTAGAGACGGGGTCTCGCTCAGGATGGTTTCGAACTCCCAACCTCGAGCAATCCGCCCGCCTGGGCCTCCCAGAGTGCTAGGATTACAGGCGTGAGCCACCGCGCCCGGCCAATCACATTATTTTTTAAAATGAAAGAAAAAAATTCAGCTAAGGTGAAAAGTAGAAATACAGTCCTTCAATAACAAATATACTATACTTTCTCATATAGGCTATAATGAGATTACTATGAAAAATCATAGTACTATCTTTAGTCACAATCATCAGGATGAGCCATTACTATTAGCAATTATCCACATAAAACAAGCAAAAGATCAAATCTCTACTCCAACAAAAATTAGCTATTGAGAAGTCATCTTAATTGTTCGAGGTATCAAATGCCAACAAATTTCTACTGTGTGGCTTTCAGAAATCAAAGCATTGAAAGTCTCCCGGAAGCGGACAAAAAGGAGAAAGACAACCTGACGGCAGGTAGAAATCACAACCTGTTGCAGCCAAATTGGTATAATGAAGGGAGGCGAGCAATTTATATGTTCAAAAATAAAGAACTCAAGGTGGAAGAGAGAGAAACAAAAAACATATACTTCCATAAACAAAATAAAAAGGCCAGATTGGCTAAGAGGTAATCTAAAATTTCTGACAGTCCAGAATCAGCACACTGAAAGCCTGTTCAAAGATAAACAAAACAGCTTCTCACAGGAAACTTTGAAGTGGGCAAGGAGGAAACATTCCTTTGCACCCACACAAACCAACCACCTGATCACTCGCATGCTACTGCTAAATTGACCATGATTTACCGGCATTTGGCGCGGCTAATGGTCAAAGGAGAGGAAAGAAGGCTCTTGCTCGAGGGGAGCCAAGGATTCCAGAGACCTGGGGAGGTACATCCGAGGCTCAGGGAAGGAGGTAAAGAAGGGCTAGCACTCCTCACCGTGATTATCTTTCTGCCCGATATTGTGCGTGCGGATGAGAGAGGACAGTCTCCTTACATCTCCCTTGAAGACGCACTCGTGTACCGGGTAGTGTGCGGGGCAACTGCCTCCATCTGCGACGACAGCAACGGGGTTGGTGCCGGCTAGAACAGCCGGGGACTGGGAGGTGGTAGTCACGGAGGAATTGTGCAGCGGCAGGGCCGGGGCGCCGTGGGGATTGGAGGAGGCCGGAGCTGCCTTCAGCGGCAGCCGGTGGTGATGGTTACTGAAGAGCTTATGACAGGCTTTGCCGCCCTTGCCGCTGCTGCCTGTGCCGATCCTGCCTCCGGTAAAGGTGCCGCCGAGGGCAGCCGCCGCTTCCTCATCCCCGGGCTCCAGCAGGTCCCCCTCTTCTTTGCTGGGCTTGTGGTCCCTCCGCAGTGAACGGATCTTCTCTCCGGTCATCGCCGCCGCCAGGGGCGGGGGGGGGATCCGGGAGGCTCACCGCCGGCGACGGAGCAGGCGCTGCGGCGGCACAAGGCGATTAGAGCGGTGGCCAGGAGCCTCCAGCGCAGCATGAACTCCCAGAGCACCTCCGAGCCCGGGACAAACGCATCTCCCGGAGGAAGAAGAGCTGGCTCTCGCCTAGGCCCGAAGGGACGCACGCTCGCTGGGGGGAGCTAGAGCTCAGGTGCCCACGACACTAGAATCCCAGTCCCGCTGCCACAACCACTACCTCCACTGCCTCACACCGAAAAACAGGGCACGGCCATCTTCCCCTTGCTCCTCTCGCGAGAGCTCCCCCGGGAGCGAAGAGGGAGGAAACACCGCGATAACTGAGCTGCCCGCTCCTTCCCTCGCACCTTCTTTTCCCAGAGTCTCTGGGCGCCGGCGCCTCCCAGGCAGCGTGTTTCCGCTAGAGGCTGGCGTCTTGGAGCTAGCTGGTCAAGACACAGTACTCACACAGGCAACACTTCTTGTGGGCGGTCTGAAATCTTAGCTGTGTTGGAGACGTTCAGTGCACGTTATAAACAATCACTTAAACCCTCCGACCTCTGAGCCTCCCGCAGAGAAGTGCAGAATGACGCCACTGCACGCGGGACGTGATGTCACTGAGATGCGCAGAACACTCATTCAATAAACATTTACTAAGCATCTAGTAGATTTATAAAGCGCAACTCCAGAGGGTTGACAGTCAAACAACTGAGTACAATATCCAACTGAGCAACGAAAAAGCAAAGGCGGGAAGCTGGGTAGCACAAAAAAAGGGAGGGGCAAATTTTAATGTTGAGGTGTCAGAAAAGTCATCACAGAAGAGTTTAGGGGCTGACCTTGGAAAATGATGGGTTCAGAAAACGGAAAGAGAGGAGGTCACTCAAATATTTGTTAGACGAATTTCGGTCAGACGTCAGAGTTAAAGCACAGGGGGCGGGGTGGACACTGAAGGAGGGCAAATAATTGAGTAACTGGAATATCAGTGGATTAGTTCATGGCCAAACTCAGCCTACTGTCAAATTCTAAAGTATTGTAAATCTTCCAACAATAAAACGTTGACAAAGTAACTAAAGCTGCAGGGCACGGGGGTGGGGGGAGTAGTGGAGGGGGTTAGCAAAACGTCCTAAAGAACTTCACCCATTTATCTCCCTTTTCTCTCTTAATTTCTTTGTTGGAGGAGGAGTTAGTTCCATTTATGTGAAAACATTACCCAATCAGCACCTCAAAGCATACTCCTGAGAAAGCAGTAGAGACTGAACACATATATACAATAACATATACACCCATACGTGCAACACATACAAGACATACATATATAATAACAAACATATATATATCCAATGAACAATTCAAAGGATCCTCCTGAGAAAGCAGCAGAGACTGAACACATATATACAATAACATTTTGTTCTTCCACAATAGCAATATGTATTGTTAACTCTAAGCCAGGCAGGCAGTATGCTTGGCACTTTATATGGTGTTAGCTCCTCTGATAAGCATTATTATCTTCACTTGACAGCTGGAAAAACTTGCCCAATTTCTCAATGCTAGAACATGGCACAATCAAGTCTGACTCCGGGCTAGAGGGATAGAAAAGGCCAAATCATGCAGGCCTTTGTATGTCAACTTAAAAGTTTAAGTTTTAGTCTACAAAAAAATGCATAACTTTTTAGGGATTTTAAACAGGGGAATAGCATGATGAGATTGCCTTTTAAGAAAATTCACTCTCTCATACTTTAGAAAATTATGTATCAAAAACAGATTACTGTACAAGGGAACTACACCAAACACAAGGAAACTAAATCAAATAGTAAGCATGTTAATATATGCATGCTAAAGTCCAGTAGAATATATATATCACACAGAGTGAACAGTAGTTATCTCTGGAAGATGGAATTGCTAAATCATATATTTTCTGGAGTTTTAAAAATTCCTTATTGATTTTTTAAAGAATTGTACAAGTAAGATGATGAAAGCATAAAACAAGTTGGTAAGAGTAAGGCTGGAAACGGTTTCAGTTGAAGTTCATGTTGCTTATCCAAAAAGAGTTATATGGTGTACATTTTGGTTATTTTGAAATGAACCTTAGGAGACAGGTAACTGAGTGTAGGGTAGATTCAGGAGTTATCATTATATAGTAATTGATGCCCCAGAAGTGGCTTAGCTCCCCAAAGAAGAGTATGTAGAGTAAGAAATTAAGAAGGTCCAGTGGAACAAAACTTTGAAAACAACAATATTTAAAAGGTGTGTTTAGGAGGAAACGTATCCAGCAACCTATTATTATCAAAAACTTACACCAAATATTCTACCATTATACTTGTGAAGTATCTTATCTCTAGATCCAGAATTTAAAAGCACTTTACTAGTGGCTGCAACCGATGGATGAATGCGAAAATGTGTAAGTGTCCCTCCAGTAAAATCAAACACCATAGACATAAAAAATAATATTCAGCCCTATTTTTAAGGGCTTACAGTATAAAAAGGAAAAACGACCAAATATAATTGCAATACATTGTTAAAAACATAAGAATTGCAATTATATAAGATCCCAATATTATACAGAATAAGAAGTTATTAATTATATCTGGAGGAAATGGAAATCAGGTGATTAGGAAATCTTTCTGGAAGAGGTAATGTCTGAACCAGGTTTTAAAGACAGTATACAAGTCGGCCAAATAGGCAAGGGGAAAAAGACATTATATGTAATAATAATTATTATAAAAATAACTACCATTTTTTGAGAGCTTACCATGTGTTAGGCATTGTTCCAAGCACATGTCAGGAACTATTTGATTTAATCCTGACAACTCCTCTATGAGGTACTGTCCCTATTTTACAGATGAGGAAAATGAGGGACAGGAGGGGATCATTCAATTAATAAGCAGAGATAAAGAAAATGGGATATATAAATAGAGCATGGCATTTGGGAATCACTAGAGCAGAGTAGTAACAGAAAACAATCGTGGTAAATGAGACTAAAATGGAAGGCTGGGCTAGATCACAAAAAGCAAGGTAGGAAACTTGGACTATATATGCTAGGCAATGGAGTATTTGCAAAGGATTGCAAACACAGAAAGACAGAATCACATTTAACGATCATAATGTGCAATCAACCAATGTCCCAAAGACTCTGCAAATCTTTCCAGTTTCACCTCTTACTATATTGCAAAATTCACTCTTCATTCTAACCAACACAATCCATGAACAGTTCCTTTTCCTCTTTCATGCCTCCATGCCTTTACATATGCTATTCGATATGGCCAGAACTCATTTCCATTTTGTCCACCTAGACAACTCCTTCAATCTGTCAAGAATTAGTTCAAATTTTATCTCTTTTTAGCACAAGGGTTTCTTTTTTCACTTGGCAAAGAATTCAGGGCCAGGAAATTACACTGAACTAAACCTATAAATAAAATTTAGCATGCCCTTCTGTTATGAAGGTAAGCCACAAACCACTATAGTATTGGCATTAAGTAGTGATTCTGTGACCAAAACAAACCACAGATATTTTCATACCACATTACAGTTGCTACAGACAACTCAAAATATCATTTACACTCATTACTACCTCAAAATTATGTTAATAATTATGACCATTTCTAGGTCTTGTTGTTGAATGAGTTAATAAAGAAGCATATATGTTACTCTATCACACATTTGTTTTAAAAAATATTTTGATAGCCACTTTGTTACACTAAATTTTCCTTGTAATCCTAAATATTTTATGCATTTAAGAACATTGTCCTGAAAATGGGTCTGTAGTCTTCTCCACACCACCAAAGAGGTCCATGTCAAAAAGAAAAAAAAGAAGTTAGGAAGCCCTTCGTAGGAATCATTGATAAACACCTGTCCACCCGTCCCCTTCTCTCCTAACCCACAACCCATCATTCTGAATTAGATGTCCCCCCTTTCTCTCCTTTCTAATTTTGTATTATAATTTCTGCAGACTCCTTGATATTCTTGTCTGTCTCCTCATCTGTTCCTTTGAGCTCTCTGAGTACTGGAACTATGTTTATTATTGCTGTATGCACAGTGCCTTACAGATAGTGAAAGCTTAATATTAATAATAAACAGTTGTTGAATTAATCAATTAATTACATCATAAAACCCCAAAGTATCTACAATGTACTGAGATAAATGTGAGCTCAGTCATGAGATGCTTAATACATTTCTTAAGCAATGCAATCTGACTTCACTTAAGTTGACTACTACACCACTTGATGCTTAGGTGAAGCCCAAGTGTTGATGTATCATTTAGGACTGTTTTCTTAAAAATTTCAAGTACGAGTAAATTCTATGGAAATTAACATAAATAAGGGATTTACTGACTTACATATCAGAAAGGTGCAGAGACAGTCTTCAAGAGTGGCCCCTCAGAATCCCATGTGAGTTGTCGAATCTCTCAGCGAGCCTCTCGGTTTGAAGCGTCCTCCTCAGGCAGCTTCCCTCAAGAACACAAGATGGCTGCCAGCAATAACGGGCCACGTGCTTCCCCCTTCAGGTCCGGAGGAGGCCCTGCAGCCACTCAAGTCCGGAGCTTCACAGTCGCAAGACGGCCGGTCCAATCCCGGTGTCCTGCAGAATGCTGATTGGCCCAGGCCAAGTTACCTGAACAAATCCCTGTGAAGGAGAGAGTACCTTGATTAGTTTTGCCCAATCAGGACTCATCTCTGAGCTGGAGGTGTGGCCAAGCCCTCCAAACAGCGGAACTATTTCACAACGGAATGAGGTGGGAATGATGTGGGGAGACAAACACAGGAGTGGTCAGCAAAAGTAGTACGACCTCCCAGAGACTTAAAGGGGACTTAGCTTGGAAAAAAAACCTGTTATCACAGTATGTTGGATTAAATATGATAAAATATGTAGTGATTATCAATTATATTGATACATCATGAGTAAATAACTTAATGGTGAACGATGTATTTTTATTCAAATGTTACTGAGATAGAATTCAATCCAAGGATTCAAGTATATAACTCAACTACTGAATTTACTAGGTAATACTCTGTAGTTCTAAAAATTAGCACTTCTTAATTTCCTTCCTGATGTAGTCAAGATTCCAAATAATACTCAATTTGCTTTGAATAGCAGAAAGCTTCTGATAAATGAGTGTCTTTTCAACTTTTTCTAATGACAGTTATGTTAAATGTCATACATGTTCACAAACACTCAACATTAACTACATGGTTAAACCTGGTTCTGAGAATGAATATTCTGAATTTTAGCAGAAATTTATGTATCTGTATTAGCCTTAGACAAAGTACCAATCCCTGTCCTGGTGTCTTCATTTAATAACAGCAATAGTATTGCAACATGAAATACAGAATAGCAGTACTGTATAAAATAAATTCTCGCTAGTTGTATTTTGTGAATGCATCAACAGCCCTACAATTAAGATTGGTAATTAGTAATTTTACTCAATTCTCCTTGCATTGATACTGATGTTTCTAGTGTAAACATCAGTACAAGTTTAGTCTACATCTTTTTTTTTCTCCTTCTCTAAAGGTTTGTATTTTATATTTTCACAATAATCCAGAATATGATTTCCTACACTCCACATTGGCTTAGCCAGGCCCACAGGTATTTTGTTTGGATGGATGACACAGCTGCCTGGCTAATCATCTCCAAAATCTGACAACACTCACAACAGTTCACTGACAAATGAAAATAACAAAC